AAACATAGTTCAACCCATGAATTTAGAATGAACTCAGTATGAAGTGAATTAATATTACAATTAATTCATTTTATTCGGTGCGATTTTAAAGAATAACTATTAGGAAAAACTTGGTTAAGTAGGAATCATGAATAAATAAAAACTGTAGTTTGCATCTTATTTATTGACTATTTTTCACATAATTGTATCATATTGTTTATTGTATTTATTTGTATATCACATGTTTTTTGTGTAAATATGCAGCGTGAATGTGTATCAGGTGTTCTTGAATAATTTGGCAGTATGATCCTCTCAGGATGTTATGGCACAGGTTCACTAGCACTTGGTAATAAGGGCTCTGCTCTTTGGTAACATCGATGGCATATCAGATAGCCGAAATAGTTAAATTAAAGGAAAAACAATCGCAAATAAACACACAACAGGTAATCCGAAACGAAAATGCACTTTCGGGTATATTATACTACTCTTTGGAATGCAGGAATGCCACAGATTACTACAAATGCAAACTGCATGCACCACAACCACAGAGTAACGATTTTTATGCCGGCCCTTCACTTGACAACAGTTTGTCCTTGTCATGCTTGATAAGGAATGAAAAGGACAGACTGATGTCATATTTTAAAATAGCAAATACGAATAGCTAATTAAAGTGCCGGCATTAGGAAGAAAGAGTATTTTGTTTGCAGCGCTGCCATAGATTATACACATAAAATGGTATTTATTGTCTCAGATTATTTTTCAACTTTTTAATTTAGCTTACTTAACTGGAAGTGTCCGTCACAATCTAAATACTGATAATTATCGCAAAAAATATACTAAGAATTATCATAAATGCCAAATTGGTGTTGGTTCTTAGGCCAATTTTAGCATTGTCCTTTGCTACCGTGAGAGTCGCTTGTTGCATTTCCTTGTGTGGGTATAAAACGGTCCACGCGGAGTCAACGCACAGATTATACTGAAGAAAAATCACCTCGAAGATGGATACCACAGCTGATGAAGCCGCTCAAGTATTTGCACTATGGCAATTAGGGATGCGGCAGTGTGATGTTGCCCGGCAACTGAACCTGAACCGTTTTTCCGTTCGAAGAGTATACCAGTGCTTCATAGAGACTGGTGGCTATATCCGGAGACATGGGTCCGGTAGACGTCGCTGCACTTCAGAAAGAGACGACCGTTGAACAGGTCGTCTCTGTCGAACTCTGAGAAATCGTCTCTCTAACGCTGTTGAGTTGCAACAGCAGAAGCTGCTGGCAGTTTGTAGACGCAGCGTGAGCGTCTCTACGGTTAGAAGAAGACTGAAGGAGAAAAGATAGCGGCCCACAGAGCTGCTACGGGTCCCAAATTGACAGCAGCGCATCGGCGAGCCCGCTTACAGTTTGCTCGTGACCACGTCCATTGGACCCTTGAGCAGTGGAGAGCTGCTCTTCACAGACGAGACGCGAGTGTGTCTTTTCTGCAACGATCGACGGAGAAGAGTATACCGGAGGCAGGGTGAACGTATTGCGGAAGCCTGCATCCAGGAGACGGTGGAATATGGGGGCGGGTCGGCCGTGTCTGCGTCTCTCGGACTAGAAGTACTCGCGGACAAGGGTCGCTGACTGCTCGCCGCTATGTCGCAGAGATCCTAGAAGTGCATGTGGTCCCCTTTGCTGAATCTTTTGGCGAGGGGTTCATATTAATGCACGACAACTCCCGCGCCCACACTGCAGCTATCGTGAATGACTTCTTACAGAGGTCCCAAATCTCCGCCAATTCACCCTCGCTGCCTTCCAGTTACCGCCTCGAAAGTCACTCGTCATCTGTGTCTTCCCTCCTAAAACCGAACTGTCAATATGACATTGGTTCAGGAAGGGGAAATGTCAATGTTTATGGTATTATCAAAGAGAATAATAAGGCTCTATGCACACTTACCATAGTTTGCGGAAGTTCGCGATTATTCGCGACACGAATATTTAATATTTTTACTGCTGGAAAAATGGGTATAGGCGTATATAGAGGGGGGGAGAGGAGTTAAGGGGTGAATTTGAATCATCAACCTCAAACTATCACTAGGTTCATTCGCTCATTCGAGTTTAGAAAGATTTCGGTGCGGTCATATCTAACGATTTAATTTTTTCAGGAATTTTCCTATAACAACTGCTGTTATTTAAAAATGTGAGATCTTAATGAAAGTTAGGTTTGACTTGGCCAGTATTCATTACATCAGTCATTTTATAAAGTTATTCAATTTAAGTATTTAAATATATTTGTTATTCTGATAAATAAATCCAATAAAGCAAAGAAATGACAATTGATTTTCGGCATTACTTTTTTCTGTGTATTTTCCTGTATTAAGTCTTGTCACCTTTCTTGAAGAACAATACGGCCAAGCTCCGGTGCCACGCCTTGGGAGTTCTCCCGGAGAAGAGAACAGAGTTAAATATACGCCGGCCGCTTCAGCACCGTGTTCCTACTTATTTATTTCTTAATATGTATAATGTTTATTATTTACGTTTACATTAGTGTATTATGATAAAAACTTATTCTTTCGTATTTCGTATACCAGGAGGGAAGAGGAGGGATACGATGTACGTCGTTGAGTAGGTCTTTTGCGGTTATTTTTTTTAGTATCCTGATTTTGAAAGAATTATTCTTAATAACCTGAATAAGTTTTTACAACCTATTCACTCTGTGTTCGGCATTGCCAAGTAAGAACTTTCCATATCGTCGTTACATGATAGGAAACAAAGTTCATCTATGGTCCACGTGGAACTGGATAGCAGATGCCTGAAGATATCAACCGCTGTCGTCGACCTTTAATAACTTCGCTTTGTTTCTGTTTTAGTAATAGTACTGTGTTTAAAATAAGATAACATTAAAACCTAGTATCTATGTTTATTTTTTTAGAGAGCAAAAGATTATTATTTCTCCATTACGATATGAGGATATCCATACCCGTATGTATTATAGACCAGGGTCGATAATTTTTGAGACCAAAAATAATTATAGTAGGATGAAACCCATTGGAAAAGGTAGAGAATATAACAAAAATGAAAGGAAAAATAAATTACGGGCGATCTGAGGTCGGGAAGGGGGAGGGGGTGAGTTTTTAAGAGTAAAAACCGGTTAATCTCGATTTCCGGTAAAACTGCAAGTCCTATGAAATAAAGCTAAATGGCAAAGTTGTAGGTAATAAAAAGATGTACAACTTTTGTATCGACACTTTTTTCACATAACCTCAAAATCTATGTGAAAAATTCGAATAACCGAGTTTTTAGTTTTTTATTTTTATTTTTTGCAAAAAAAAATTCTTTCACGAAACTAAGTGAAAACTTACCTTTGTATGTCCCAAACATACAGTAATTTTTTTGATTTAAAATATTCATTTTTTCACCTTATTTTGACTTAATATCGAAAAAGCACCCTAATTTTCAATCGAAAATTCTCACGTCAAAATATCTGCTTTTTTAAAAAAGTTGATGTGTTTTTTGTTTGTTGAAATTTCTTCTTTCTGATGGTATAAAAAAAATATACACTACTATGGTAAATGTTCTCAGAAACTGCAAATTAATAATGAAAAAAACTCCAATCCGAAAAATTGATTTGAATCATTATGTATAATTTTGAACTATTTATTAAAATTTACACTTTAATTACTCGAAAAACGTAAGATTTCTTGTTATATTAATAAACAGAAAAATTACAAATCCATAAAACATGCAAAAATAGTTGTTGTAAGTAGGTATTAAAAATAGGATTTTCGGATTCGAGTTATTATCATTATTAATTTGCAGTTTCTGAGAACATTTACCATAGTAGTGTATATTGTTTTTTATACCATCAAAGAGTAGAGATTTCAACAAACAAAAAACACACCACCTTTTTTAAAAAAGCAGATATTTTGACGTGTGAATTTTCGATTGAAAATAAGGGTCCTTTTTCGTTAAGTCAAAATAAGGTGAAAAAATTAATATTTTAAATAAAAAAAAATGCTGTATGTTTGGGACATACAAAGGTAAGTGTTCACTAATTTTTTTTTTTGCAAAAAATAAAAATCAAAAACCAAAAACTCGGTTATTCGCATTTTCACATAAATTTTGAGGTTATGTGAAAAAAGTGTCGATACAAAAGTTATAGATCTTTTTATTACCTACAACTTTGCCATTTAACTTTTTTTCATAGGACTTGCAGTTTTACCGGAAATCGAGATTAACCATTTTTTACCCTTAAAAACTCACCCCCTCCCCCTTCCCGATCTCAGATCGCCCGTAATTTATTTTTCCTTTCATTTTTGTTATATTCTCTACCTTTTCTAATGGATTTCATCCTACTATATTTTTTTTTCACTTTTCACCATTTTTAAAATTATCGACCCTGGTCTATTACGTCTGAGCGTAATAATAAGATTCTCCTTTATAACGTAACTATACTCAGCAATTGATTTCATTACGTTGATTAATAAATTTTCAGTAATAGTTAATTGGTGTCGTTTATAAAAAAATATTTATATAACGACAGAGTTATAATTATTTTGTGAAAATTTTGGATAAGGATTTTAGACAAGATAGTGAATGTTTTTTTTTAGATTGTCAATATGAATTCATTGTGCGACATTGACAGAATGTTAATATCAGAATAAAAGTATCATTTCAATGGAATGAGTCCCAAATTATAGCATCTGACTGTACATATTTTCGGGTTAACTTACATAGACTTGAACTAATTTAAAAGCCTGTGGAAGTGTCTAAAATATTTTTTATTTGTTTATTCATCGTGAAAAATAGGTCAATACATGGTGCGGTAAAAAGAAAAAGATGGTGCAATATGTTTGCAATCACAAAAAAAATATAAATACCACTAATACTTCACGAATATGACTGGTTTTGCAGTGTCAATAGCGTCTACAAAACTAATTCAACTCAAAGTACCAATGACCGCCAATGATTACCCTGACATCAATAAGAACTGTATTATTATCGCAATACTATATAAACTAAGAGAAAACTGTTACAAGCATCATTTGGTAATCATTGCCCAACAGTACAATTGGAATTAGAAAGATGCGTGCACTAGTTTTGGTAAGCCTGGCGGCGGTGCTGGCTGTGGTCTACGCAAGAGAGACTCGTTATAAGAGGGAAGCTGATTTGGTGGCGGCGGCTTCTAATCATTGGGAGAAAGGCGGTGGTGGCGAGCACCATGGAGACCATCACAGTGAACATGGCGGCCACGGAGAAAAGGGATACAAAGGTTTCCACGAACATGATCATGGACAAAAGGGACACTCACACCATGAGGGACACAAAGGTCACTATGGCGAACACGGCGGGCATAAGAAACACCATCATCATGATGATGGTTATTACGATGAGCATAACCATGGCGAGAAAGGTGAGAAAGGGCACGGCTTCGAAGAAAAGGGGCACTTCCATAAGGGGCATTCGGCTAAAGGTCACCACGGTGTGCACAAAATAGACGAGTTTAAAAAGGATAAACACTTCCACGACAAGCACGGTGAGTCTGGGTTTGAGGAAGGCTATGGTGGTCACCACCATGAAGGTGGATACAAGAAGGGCGGTGAATTCCACAAAGGCCACAAGCACGGTGGTTTCCATGAACATGAGCATGGCGAGAAAGGCCACCACGAGAAGGGCGGTCATCACCACGACCACAAGGGCTTCCACGACGAAGGGGGCCATCACGAGCACCACCACCACGGCGAAGGACATGGCAGCAAAGGAGGCCACGAAGACCACAAAGGATGGGGATGGGATAAGGGTCATAAATAAATTTACTTCTTAGCAGTGTGATATTTTGTTATTGTTAATATTTTGTGATAATGGAATTGTACCTACGGATGAAGCGCGTGTTAATTTTTATATTTTAAACGAATAAATAAAATTATTTTCCTGTAAGTAAATATGTTTTACTATTTTTTACTGTACCAATTTATGTACTGCATATGTTTTATTTGCAGCATTGCCTTCAATATTTTATTATTACCATAAATGATTAAAACATTAGAATAAAAAATTTGGATTTAATTTTATTATACCTGTAAGTGCGTAAAGTGGGCAACATTACAACTTTTTTGCGAAGCAAAAGGGGATAGTTGATCTACTTACTAAAATACACCCTATCTACCAAATCTTTTAAACAAAAAAAAATGTTAAATAGCTACTTTCTTATTTGATGCAAAGATAACTTCTCTAAAAGGGCGCTCTAGATCAGGAATGGGCAAACTGCTATCCGCGGGTCATCTCCGGCCCTCGAATGGTTGAAATCCCGATTTACTTCGCTTAAACCAAAAGTGTATTTACCCTGATGTTAAGCTGCAGCGGAATGGCATTTGCCACTATGCTATGTTTTGATTTGATTTACAAATTCTGGGAATGCAAATCGTATGTGGCCTATACAAAAAATTTGCCTGTCATGAATTCTAATAGTAAATATTCTGGACCCCGCCCGACTTCCAAATTATGAACCACATATAATTATTTCTTACTTTTTAGTTTTATTCAATTTTAAAGTCGGTTTTCTGTTTTTGTTTCAAACTATTTTTTATGAATTTTATTGAAAACAATAAATTTTCATATAATAATTTTACCACTTGATTTTAATTAAAATATATATATATATGCACAGACATGAAAAAAGACGGACGTAATATCAAACTAAAATGATGTGAACCATGCAAGGTCCTACAATTTTGCCTGTTGTACACTACCTCAACTCACCAGACCAAATGCACCAGGTCCAAAAACTCGCTGCCATTTGACCCCGCGTGACAGCGCCAGTGACACATTCAATTGATCCGACGAAATTTTAAAAAAATGCCGTCTTGAGTAATGATATCATGTAAAAACTACATGAGTAAATTTCAAAAGTCACAAGGAATCACCTACCATGCGCAAGTAAAGACGAATCGGGATAAGTATTCTAAATTATACTATATTCAATGTGATGAAAATTCCATACAAAAAAGTAAATTTAAAAAATCTAAAAGACTGATTTATATTACTGCAAATAAAAACTGAAAAGAAGAAAAACAAGTGCACTAGTCTATAATTCTGTTAAGTAAGGGACAAAGCTACTTTAACGGTCGGGACCCATTATTGAAAAATATGATCCATTCTTGAATATCTAATGGGACCCGATAGTTTAAGGGTTTTTTGAGTTTTTAAATTTACTTTTTTTATTTCAAACTTTTTAGTTAGGATTATAAGACGGTATCTACAACAGTCTTGTCACTTGTCACTCGTCAAGGGAGTTAATATCGCGGGGGTTATTAAGAACCTTGCGGTGCAGCGGTGGTCTAAACGATTGATTTATTAAGACATACAGAGACCTTACCAAGGGTCAATGCTACAATGTGGGCCTCAATTTCCGCAAAAATGTGTGAAGTTAACTCAAGTCGTACCTACCTACATATCCAATGCATGTTTATTTTATAGTTAACCAGTACTTATTCAAAAAATCATCTTTTGCTTATGTTCTTTTTAGCATTAATATAAAATGCATTTACTTTTATTCGTCTACTATCTAAAATTGACTGTGGCTGCATTGTCAATGTCCGGCTTTAAGATTGTGTTATACACAAATGCAGTTTTACCTATATACTTCACAGAAACCAAATATGTAGATGTCAAAGCTTAACTTCAAATGTTGTTAATCATCCTATATACAATACCAATCAATGACGTTAATGTCGCTGGTTGACGAAATCAATTATTCCCGTCTGTTGTTTAGGACACTGGTAGCAACTACCTTAGATCACTAAATTAAATATTTATACAATCACCAAAGCAAAGTTTATAATAATTGATAAAACTAAAGGCGCAGAATAAAATTTCCATAGAGTTAAGTACAGCACCATAGCAATCTCATTTATTATTTTATCACCCAATGTATAGATTTACATGTCGTTCTTTTTTAAAGCGTTCACAAGTTACAGGTTAAATCGTTCACCAGTTACAGCTTTCTGATCTACCATTTTTTATTGGTAGTGTAAAGCTCGAATAAAGAGTACTTCCACCTATCAATCGGCCTGCTACCAGCCTAGTAGGTATTGCAAATGGTGCAATCATAGCAATTGTTTTCCAAATATTTTTTTCTACCAATAAACAAAATAAGAATAAGTATTTATAAATTACCGAATAACATATAAATATTTAAAGAAAATATAACTAGAAAAAATTCCACGCGGACCAGGCAACCTACCTATAATGCGAAGAGATGGCGCTGCCTTGCAGCTTAAGAATAGCTAGAAGGAATTTCGACGCGGTCCGTGAGGGCCGCGGTAGCATAATTGGTCAGTGCATTCGCCCGGATTGCGAAGGGTGCGGGTTCGAGTCCCGTCTGCTGCCTGGTCCGCGTGGAATTTTTTCTAGTTATATTTTCTTTAGATTTAAACATCAAGCAGTTACATGCTTTAAAAATAATAAAAATTATAAATATAAATATTTACCAAAAATGCTTAGTAATTTTTAGATAAATAAGCAAAATCAAGATATATAATAAGCAAATGAACCAATTACTTAGTTTATTTTTAAATCTTTTTCGTCAATTAAATATTATTGTCCTAACTATCTATACTAATATTATAGAGGCAAGAATTACTCCTAGATTTTATCTACGTTTATAAAATATCGTTGTTGTAAACAGAAACACCAAAATTCTTCAAAATTTCTTCTTCTAACCATTCCGGAACTACTCCTGCTACTCCTGCATAGTACACCGCGCTCTCACTTTGTCATCGTTGTAACTTTTTAATTGTTTGTCGAAATGACATTGTGAAAGAGGCAAAGTTTACTGTCTTTAAATATCAAAAGCGATTTAAGTATTTGTTTAGATGAAAAATAATTTATTAGTACAAAATGTGCATTTTGGAAATGGATATCAACTATTATTTTATTTTTAATTCACTATTTTAGCGATAACGACTTACACATTAAAAATAAATATATGTTGTCGCGGACTTTTTTGTAGAACTATTTAGGAGATACATTTTCACTATACACATGTACTTATATTGATTTTGCAGTGTAGTTCAAAATGGCTCGCAGATGGGACATTTTTTCCGTCTTACGGGACAGTTATTGTTATATTTTGGCCAATTCACTGAATAACTGCATAAATTATTATCTATATGTTATTATTATGTAAGAGCTATATTATTGTCAAGTTTTATTAAAATCCATTTAGTATTTTTTGTGTGAAAGATTAACAAAGATTCACACAAACCTTAGGGCCGACGAAGACCGGCGGTCAAAGCCGCCTGCCTTCTTCGGCCCACCCGTCTCCGCCGGAGGGGAGCAGCCAGAGCGTCCTCCTCCCGCTCCCTCTCCGCTGCCTCCTTCTACCCCATCACAACCTCGCAGAAGGAGGCGGCAGCCTTTCATGCTCTCTAATTGCCAAGCATGGTTCGAACCATACTTGGCAATGAGAGCGCTCCACCGCCGAGCGCCGCCACCAACGTGCTGCGCTCGTTTCGCCAGGCTGGGCACACGATCAGTGTGTGCTCGGCCGTGTCGTCCGAGTCCGGCTGCGGCGGCGCACAGCCGGGGAGCGAGGAGCCTAAAATGCTGCTCGAACCTCCACAGGGGATCCAGGGTCAGGCCGAGATACTTCATGTGCATCTCGACATGAACCTGGATCCCCTCAACCCCGACACGGAGCCCCGGTGGAGTCCTGCGTCTTGGGGCATGGAACGCTATGGCCCCCGTTTTATCGAGGGCCACCTCCAGCCCCAAGAGGCGGATGCGTCGGACGACCATGGAGGGTTCGACCGACGCAAGGTGGAGCACCTCCTCCCACTCCTTCGCTTTCGCCGCGACAAGGGTGTCGTCCGCGAAGCAGACGATATCCATTCGCGGCAAGAGCGAGTCACGCAGGACCCAGTTGTACCCCAGGTTCCATAATAGAGGGCCTAAAACGGAAGCTTGGGGCATACCTGCCGCCACTGTCCACGACTGAACGCACCCCTCCGCGTCCTCGTAGAGGACTGACCTGTCCCGCAGGTAGTCCCGCACGAGGGCGCGGAGGTAGAGGGGCACTCGGTGGAATTCGAGCGCCGCCTCTATGCACTCGTGGGGGATGGTGTTGAACGCGTTTGCGATGTCCAGGGACACCGCAGTCACCACCTCCCCCCGTGCTGAGGCCACCTCAGTCTGCCAAGTCCGGTCCCGTGCCCTCTATGTGCTCGATGATGCGGGAGGCGATGATTTTCTCAAAGGCCTTCCCGGACTCATCAAGCAACACCACCGGCCGATAGCAAGCTACACCACCGGCCGATAGCCCGCTGGAAAGTCCGCCGGGCGGATCGGTAAATATACCTAATCATAAATTCTGTCACATGTTTAATATAAAATAATTGAAACAAGTTTATTCATTAATAAGGAGGGGATATATCTGTAAATAATTTTAGGCCTATATCCGTGCTTACTATTTTGTCCAAATTGCTGGAAAAAATTATAAATAAGAGACTCGTCACTTTTCTTAATGCACACAACATCTTGGCTGCAAATCAATTTGGTTTTAGGTCTGGTAGAAGCACTGAAGATGCGGTGCTCGAGTTGACTAACCACGTAGCGTTAAATTTGAATAAGAAATTAAAAACTGTAGCCATCTTTCTCGACATGTCAAAAGCATTTGACACCGTTTCTGTTCCAATCCTGCTAAATAAGTTAGAAAGAGCAGGGGTCAGGGGTCTGGCACTTGATATTTTTATCAGCTACCTAAGCGAGCGTTCCCAAGTTGTCAAGATTGACAACTTTATTAGTAAAGAGGTATCACTCACTTTCGGCGTTCCACAGAGAAGTGCCCTCGGGCCGACCCTGTTTTTGGTGTACATTAACGACCTATGTATGATGTCATTAAACAACTCCAAAATTATCACCTATGCAGATGATACTGCTATTATAGCTCATGGTACTAGCTGGATGGAATCTGCTCTGAACATAGTTCTGTAGTGGATAAATTCAAATTTGCTTACCC